GAAACACGAAGTTTATATTATATGCGTCACAATCGCATATTCAAACTTAAGAAAGTTCGTTTCAATACGTGTGGACAGTTCTGCAATACTAATGACACATTTTNTGTGAACGGTATAGAAAATTCAATATGCATATAACCTCATCCTATCCCGACACATGTACCCACATGCAAGCACTATGTCGTCTTGCTGATACTCGCACATAAAACAAAAATTGGTGTTCAAATATAATCAAATTATGTAAGATTCCTGGTTGTTTAGTTCATCGATAAATATTGTCATGTCCAAAATCAACGTATTTTCTTAATTCCAAAAATATGTACTTCATGGCACAACTTTGAAAACTGAAATTTATACAGCATGCGAATCAGAAACGTCACATGACATGACCAACTAAAAAGCTTATTTCAACCATAGCCATTTCAAAGAAAACGAAAAAGAATACGTAAATATCAGTTTACATGAAATCCACACTTACTAAGACAATGCTAATAAACTTAAGACTGGTCTCCGGTACTAAGTGATCTAGCGGCATTATAATTCAACAGGGCATGCAGGACTAACATATAAGAAGTTATTCTTTAATCACCCTTTGATCTCTACCAAAGAATAAACTACAAAAATACCAAGTACAATGCCAACCTTTAACAGAGCGCTGATCTAAACACTTTTGGATATTTAAAAAAAAATCAAACAATTTGCTAAATAACTGCTAGCCAAAATCTAAGTAAATTTACGAAAAGTGTTTCTTTAGTTTTTCATCCCTTGCTATAAATTTCGCTTTAAATTGCATCACATTCTATTTTGGGAGTATTGGCAGAAATTGACAGTCTTAAAAACTCATCAAGTACTCATTATTCTAAAAAATCGGCTTTGTGACAGCTTAAATGGTTGATTTGACTTTGTCAAGAATTTGTCGAAAATTCAGAATGTGAAAGTTTCTGATGAATGTCAGTCCTATATAGACCCCTTCCTGTAGAAAAAATTCCGAAATAAAATATTTTCTGTAACTCAACGATTTTCCTTTGTAACCTACCACTCGTGCAATAACAAATGCACATTAATTTCGGGAAATTTTCAACTCCTTGGTTTCGTTTCTAAAACCAGGGTGGCTTTTGACCCCTCCCCTCATTGAAACGCGAAGTTTATATTATATGCGTCACAATCGCACATTCAAACTTAAGAAAGTTCGTTTCAATACGTGTGGACAGTTCTGCAATACTAATGACACATTCTGCCAGTTCGATATAATGCTGCAATTTCTGAAGCATAGTTATTCAAATTACAGCGAATTATTGATTTTTGGTGGATGCACATCTCGCTCTTTTTTTCTTCCGAAGAACAACTGAACACACACTGCAACTTCCAGACGCTTTCTAAAGCATTAGACCCAGTTCACAACCAGTTGAACCACTGTCTATCTAGTCCGTGGATCAAATATGGCGTGTACTTGACAATATAACTTGACGACTCGACAATATAACAATATAACAATAACTTCCAAAGACTTCCAAAAATGCATTTTACACGGTTGGAATGTTTTCTTTCTCTCCAAAAGTAAACATCACCAAAATAAATACTAGAATTCAATTTTAAATAAATAATTCTTCACGGAGAAGCGCCAAATTGCAGATTTGTCCTCATAAAAATGTTACCATCAAAAAGAAAAACGGTCATCCTACATGTGCTTGTTGTTAATGTTACCACACCAACACGAAAATAAACCACTACTACATGTACGTGTAGCAAAATACTCTTCCTGAACACTACTTTGTGATAGTTTGAAAATAACTACAGTCGATTCACAACCCAAAGTAAACATTACACCTATTCATATTTTAAAAGTTTCAACCCTGCAAATTAACATTGTACTAGCAGAAAAACTCTGACATGCTACATATAATCTTGACATGGATGCAGCCGCTGTGGAACACGAGTCTGACATCATTGATGGAGAACGTATTCAATCTTCTCGTACACGGTTGAGTCACTGAAATTAAACAAAAAAACACCTTTACAAAACAATGTCTAAGGGTTGATTAAATAAAGCAGTTTTTAATTTTACGGCAACCGATTTCGATTCTTATCGTAATATTCAACTAACCACTTTTCAACTTTTAAATTAGAGGAATATATATATATATATATATATATATATATATATATATATATATATATATATATATATATATATATATACTGAGCTGACACGTTCTATGTAATCATGCTCGTTCAAACAATATAATTTCTATTCTTTTACACCGTGTACACACTGTAACGTGACAACATTCTGTGTCTTTAGAATCACACGTCAGTGGTGCTACTAAAAAGATAGTGACCCTCGCATTACGTATAAAGTGAAATTTTAGAAATAAACATATGACAGGAGGGTAGTAAAAACAACATTTATGAGATCTTGGAAAGAAGAACAACATAGTCACGACATGTGCACATTGGCGGGTAGGGATTTGCTGAGGTGGATTTTGAAATTTTTAAAAAACAAATTAGGACCTGAGAATGAAGTTACCTGCCAAGCTGTCCTTACTTTGTTTAAGACGGAAGACGCGTTCACTGCTGGAGCAAATCTCTCACCACCCGTTTTCTGGCAAATGGATTCCATCTGAAAATAAAAACAGATAATTAGCTATTTAAACGTCAAGTTGAATTTGGACTTTTAATGTAAAATATTGTTGACGTCAAGGCAAAATGTCGACATGATGGTTTATTTGCAAAATGCATCATTTTTTTTATTTATATCATTAACGTCAAATAACCAATGTTATCTTCCATCATCTATACAGTACTTACAACAGATCGATGCCAATTTCAGTCCCAGATTTCCGACCATTTCGTAGAAATTGTGGCAATGAGACACAAGGCTTTCTTCGCCATCTTTTACTGACCTCGGTCCTTTCTGAACACCTCTCACCAAAATACTCACCTGGATTACATAATAATATATACTTGACCACTTTCCAAACGGAAATCTCGATTTCAATTTTAACCTTTGTTATATGCTACAGGGCAAGCGTGCCCCCCCCCCCCCCCGCCCCATGAGAAAGGTACATTACCCCACTCCCACTCTTAACGCACAATCACAGATGCTGATGTTCAGTAATGAAATACAACATCATGAGCTGTATCCATTTAACGTAATAGAACTGACAGAAATAAAGGAAATTATAAGTTGAGAAAGGTATGAACCAATTTACTACATCCTTTGTTATCGTCCAAATAAATTAGAGTTGGTAACGTTTAAAAAAAAATTCACGCGTTTTGAAAGTTTACTGTTGTTGTGTTTTGAAAGAACTATTATATATTTTCTACATCTCAAATGCAGACTTAACATTTAACACATCTTTATTCTTAGAGTTGTATTGATGCTGTAAATTGGGTATATCTACATATATAACTTGAATAATTTTACATAAGCACATTCAAAAGTCTTAAGTCCACATTGGTAAATAATCAGTCTACTTGGTAGATATTGTATCAATTTCTATTGTTTAAATCAACAATCAAGATCTACATGTATTTTGCTTTTATTTTTCACTCAAGAAACCGTTGATCTTTACATGCCTTTATTTAAAATATGCCCCGTTTTATTTCACTTTCAGATTTAACGTAACAACCTTTAACACCTAAGCAAGATATTAATTCAAGATGTTTCATTAAATACCATATAAAGAGATACATAATGAAAATATTCAAAAAAGGAGGTTTATAGAGAACTATGAAAGACTAAAATATTTAAAATGAAAAATTAAACTTTATTTATAGATAAAATTTCTCCTTAATGCTAAAAATTGGCAGCAGGTTTTGGTTGTAAAATAAATCTGGTTATCAATATCTTCAAAAAATAAAAAAATTACTCTGATTATCATAAAAGTTCAAAATTGCAGAGTTGCTTCCTGCGTGAAGACAAATGGGTTTACTCACGGGTGAAGTTTTGCTTCCACCTGACCAAAGAGCACAGAGTCCCAATGATAGTTTATGTAAGGGACAGAACAACTTTGTTACCAGTAGATACAGAAGAGGGAGAAACTTTGGCTGGGTTCCCATGCCTAGAGCACAGAGTCCCAGTGATAGTTTATATAAGGGACATAACAACTTTGTTACCAGTAGATACAGAAAAGGGAGAAACTAAGGCAGTGGGAATAAAGCTGTTATGAAATCCACAAATCTTGTTGATTACTTCTCGATTGGTGAATAGAAAATTGAACCTTACACTTTATCATTGAACAGCACCTGTATTGGAGGACGAAGGTTATATGAATGTATTACCTAAGACCTAATAAGATAAACAAAAACCTAAAAAGATAAACATGTACCAGCATGGACTTTCCACTAACATTATTATTATCATCATTATTATTGTTGTTGTTTTATCTGTCACACTGGTTAAATTACACCATGACATACAGTTTAAAGCCAGAAGGAAAATATAAATTTATCTTCTACCCTTTTCTGAAGCAAAGCAAAAGTTACTGGAATGTTGAGTACACCAAGAAAGCCAACACAGATTTACTTCTAGGATGATGTATTAAAACAAACTACAAAGCGCCATTTTGGATTTTCATCTGGAATCTTCATATCAGCTCCACTGTTACATTGAGTTGTGTGACAAGAACAAATATTTTGTAGGAGTTTGATATATCACTTCATAATAGAGTTTCATCATAACTACCAACATCTATTCTGCTTTGTGTGAGATATGTTCCCTCAGAAGCTTTGCCTCATCTGTGGAATGATGATCAAGAATTTTATGCTAAAAAAAATCTTTAGTCTCATAAATGGTTTGCCGTTACTGAAGTACAGAGTTCTTTATGTGGTATATGGACTGTGATCTCTGATGACTGGTTGTCTGCTACCCCATTGGAGTGAGTGGAGCTGGTCATGTCCTTTTTACGGGGTTTAGCAGGTTCTAATCCTTTTTAGGGGGATTAGCAGGTTCTAATCCTTTTTACGGGGTTTAGCAGGTTCTAATCCTTTTTAGGGGGATTAGCAGGTTCTAATCCTTTTTAGGGGGATTAGCAGGTTCTAATCCTGTTATACTGTCATACATTGGGTTGGAGAAATTGGTCGGTTTGTTGTAGTCTTCAAAATCTCCATTTTGTTGTACTCTGGTTCCATTGCATCCTATGAGAAAAAAGACGAGCACTTTAGACCAATGAATAAAAAGAAAATTTCCAGTTAAGAAGCATAACTATAAAATGTTTTCACAGGCAATTTGTAAAGAAAGAAACAAAAAAAAAACAAAAATGAAGCTATACACATGAATTTTTTACTATACATGCAAAACACTGAATACTTCAAAGTTCCAAATCTTGTGTCTTTTGTGTCAACTGAGTATCCAAATTAACCCTCAAATCTTTTACTGATCACATTTCTATACAATATGTTACAGACAGTTCCTGCAGGCTTAACATCCAAGTGGAGGAAGAAACATCACTTCAATAAACACATTATTGTTTAATATGTCCTAAAACCAGGAGAAGAGGTAAAGAAATGACTTGGATATTTAAAAAAAAAAATTAAAGTGCTAAAACTGTTTTAAAGAATACTTACATTTACATTCCTCACACATCTACGAGCAGCTGAAATCTTGGAATTTATTNGAAACTAAGGCAGTGGGAATAAAGCTGTTATGAAATCCACAAATCTTGTTGATTACTTCTCGATTGGTGAATAGAAAATTGAACCTTACACTTTATCATTGAACAGCACCTGTATTGGAGGACGAAGGTTATATGAATGTATTACCTAATACCTAATAAGATAAACAAAAACCTAAAAAGATAAACATGTACCAGCATGGACTTTCCACTAACATTATTATTATCATCATTATTATTGTTGTTGTTTTATCTGTCACACTGGTTAAATTACACCATGACATACAGTTTAAAGCCAGAAGGAAAATATAAATTTATCTTCTACCCTTTTCTGAAGCAAAGCAAAAGTTACTGGAATGTTGAGTACACCAAGGAAGCCAACACAGATTTACTTCTAGGATGATGTATTAAAACAAACTACAAAGCGCCATTTTGGATTTTCATCTGGAATCTTCATATCAGCTCCACTGTTACATTGAGTTGTGTCACAAGAACAAATATTTTGTAGGAGTTTGATACATCACTTCATAATAGAGTTTCATCATAACTACCAACATCTATTCTGCTTTGTGTGAGATATGTTCCCTCCGAAGCTTTGCCTCATCTGTGGAATGATGATCAAGAATTTTATGCTAAAAAAATCTTTAGTCTCATAAATGGTTTGCCGTTACTGAAGTACAGAGTCCTTTATGTGGTATATGGACTGTGATCTCTGATGACTGGTTGTCTGCTACCCCATTGGAGTGAGTGGAGCTGGTCATGTCCTTTTTACGGGGTTTAGCAGGTTCTTATCCTATTAGGGGGATTAGCAGGTTCTAATTCTATTATATTGTCATACATTGGGTTGGAGAAATTGGTCGGTTTGTTGTGGTCTTCAAAATCTCCATTTTGTTGTAGTCTGGTTCCATTGCATCCAATGAGAAAAAAGATGAGCACTTTAGACCAATGAATAAAAAGAAAATTTCCAGTTAAGAAGCATAACTATAAAATGTTTTCAAAGGCAATTTGTAAAGAAAGAAAGAAAGAAAAAAAAAACAAATATGAAGCTATACACATGAATTTTTACTATACATGCAAAACACTGAATACTTCAAAGTTCCAAATCTTCTGTCTTTTGTGTCAATTGAGTATCCAAATTCAACCCTCAAATCTTTTACTGATCACATTTCTATACAATATGTTACAGACAGTTCCTGCAGGCTTAACATCCAAGTGGAGGAAGAAACATCACTTCAATAAACACATTATTGTTTAATATGTCCTAAAACCAGGAGAAGAGGTAAAGGAATGAGTTGGATATTTTAAAAAAATTAAAGTGCTAAAACTGTTTTAAAGAATACTTACATTTACATTCCTCACACATCTACGAGCAGCTGAAATCTTGGAATTTATTGCTGCATTAACTTGAATGGCAGTCAGACCCAACTAGGTCATTCTATAGACTATAAAAAGTCAGAGATGAAAATAAACTGGTCACAAAAATATGCAAATAAACCAATTTAAATCAATTTAACATTTGGGAATAAAATAATAAAGCACTGATGCAAAAAATGTTGAAACTGTGCTTTTATTTTTATATGAAACTAGCTCTTGCAACTGCTGACCTATTTAAAAAGTTGTTCCAGACAGTTCCTGCGGGCTGAGAAACCATCCTACAGCTTCTTAAGTACAAAAGTGCTTGTTTTTTTATGACACTTCATCAGAGTCTCAACCAGCCACTGATTGCTGACAGCAAGGTCCATCCCTTCTAGGCAGGTCCTGGCTGCTTCTGCTTCTTGTCCACTCTGTAGGACCACCTGAAATATTATAAACAAGGCAGCAAAGCTGTCAAATGTACAGGCAAAAACAGAAAATAAAGATGCAGAAAATAGGTCATTTTGTCAATATTGATGCAATAATAAATAATGCAGTTAATCAACACTGAATTTTAATCATGAACAACAGGTAACATGGTCAATAACAGGAGCGCATCCAGAGATATTTTCTGAGAGTATTCCAAATTATCTTTGTTGATCCATCCTCCATTTTTGATGGTCTTCCAACAGAAAAAAAAATAGATAACTGTCAACGTAAACTTTAAAATCTGACCGTCTTCCAGAAGACGGTCTCAATCCGCCCCTGCAATAAGATTACAGTTTTAGGACCATGCGAGTTCAAATTCACATAATGAAAGTCCCAATATTTGAAAAATGATGACAGTGCATAAAAAAATGTTACATAATTTTTTAAGACATAATGTTAAAGACAAGTGTGTTTTCTGTAATCTCATTTAATGGCCACTTGAATATTAATTAGACAAGTGACTTAATAGCTGTGAACTTATACCCAAGGGAAAATTACAGACTGACCACCTTCATGTGACAAGCAAAGGTCTTCAGGCCAATAAGTCACACTTTAAAAAAAAATTATGCACAACAGGTAATACCGATGAAAGTAAAATTATGCACAACAGGTAATACCGATGAAAGTAAAAGCATCAGGCCCATGAGAGTTCAAGTTCACATTAGAAAATGCCAGAATGAGAAAAATGAGTTCATTTCCATTTTTGAAGCAGAAAATGTCAAAACAACACTTTTACATATCTAATTAGTTCTATAATGAGACTGTTAACATGCCTAAGAATTAAATCTGAAGAAAAAACACTTATTTACAAAAAAAAAAAAGGCATGACTTCATCAAAACTTAACTGATCAAGCTTATTTTCAAACTTGATCTGTATACTAGTCAAACTGATCACTCCTGTGAGTCGCAAGACAAAAGGCCGATAGTTTTTTCTTAAAATGCATTATCAGTGTTACATATGTCATAGTGGTGATTTCACGGCCAAACTTCATTTCAGAAACTTCCACATTTAAATCAAATTAAATCAACATTTGGTAAAGGTTGTTCAGATGTTTCTGTTATAATGATATTACATGAATCTGTTAATGCATTTTATTTATTGGAAAGAACTGTAACCAAGTTGTAAAGCATGTTTTCAGTTTTAAAAGGATTGAATAACTTTATTTACGGCTTCATCTCCAAGTTAAAGTTTAAAGCAGTCTGAGTTTCATTATGTGAAAGGTCTCTAGTAATATATCTTAATTCTGTTAATTGGCTTCATTATCTCTGACTTGTTTTAGGATTCACTGTAATATATTTTGTGTGTATTAGTATATAAGGAGAAGAACTTTGTATTAGAGATGAGAGAGATTAGAGATAAGAGCTCAGAGTGAGTTTGGTCAGTCAAACCGATAGCTGGATTGTCCCTGCTGTCTTAGGAGACTCCAGATCTCTCACCCAGAGAAATAAACATAGAGATAAGTCAGCTGGTAGTTGTTCTCTGGACTGCTGTTGTGTTACCTGCTGGAGAAGTAACTCAGACCATAGAAGTAGAGAAGAATTAAGTAGAAAAACATAATATACCAGGGCCTCATAACTCTAAAGCATCTCGTATTGCGAATAGCAATATCACATAGAGGCTACAATGTATTATATGGGGCGAGTTATAAAATCGAGACGCTTGCGCTCTGTACTCCTCTAAATGCACGGTGAAGTCGCTGTTTTCACCTCTGGTGTCCCAGGGCTCTGTATCTCGAAAGGTTTGTGCGCAAGCGTCTCGATTCCATGGCCCCGTATCTCGAAATAGAATCGGTTATGGAATCGAGACACTTGCGCACGTGCACAACATAGTGAACCTTTCGAGATACGGAGCCCAGGTCTATGCCCACCCCCCCCACCCCCCAGCCTGCAGCGCCACCTGTAGCATTACCTGATATTGTAATATTATAGTCACCTTGGGCTTTCAAACATGTGACCTGTAATGAAATCATGTGTCATGTGTGGACCTTGCCTCAGTTGTATGCCTTGCGTGGTTCATGTTTAGAGGAGTAAATCAGTTAGTAAGAATGAAAAGTAGGAAAATCAGGCAACCTACTAGTATTGTAATCTGTAAAGTAAAACTGTAATTTGCCGACAATGGCAACATCATTTTAATGCATGTTTATTCACATTATTTTGTTGATCGTCACGATAAATCACACCAAGGGTGATTATCATACTAAAAATGACAGTTGCACATCATTACCTTATCCCAGTTTTGGTGCATTAGATCTAAACCAGGGTTTTTCAATCGTCATTTAACTTTCAATTACGTTCTTGGCCGGAAGTGCTTTTCACTATTCCAAGAGGCTACAGTCCCTAATCCAGGCATTTACTTTTGACAAAAATTCCTTTAAATCATCAGCGAATCCCACCCATGAAATTTACAAAGAACAGCTATGCGCAAAATAGTTCAAAGCATTTCTAGAAATGGTGCTGCATAGAGTTGAATTGTCGGGCCAGCTTTTCTTTTAAAACATGTGGCGCCATCTGTGCATAAATTCAAAGAAAGCGAAAGAAAAATGCGCAAACATGAGAAGTGAAAGTAAAAGACAGGTGTGGTAAGTTAGTATCTCCTTGGTAAGAGACTGTCTGGAGACGAGAGTTCATCTCAAATTAATAAATATTCTAAGCAAAAATGTCAGATACTAACATTAGTATATCGGTTATCTATCAATTATCGGTTATCAATTTGACGTTGTAATATATAATTATAAATTCCAGCCTGGTATCGGTTATCAGTATGTCTTGTTTACTTCCTGGTATAGTTTGCCTCAGTTTTCGGCCTTCCATGCATCGTACGTGAACATGTAAGGTCGAAAACTGAGGCAATGTATCGTATGCTTAGTTTTGTTCATTTATTTAATTAATTATTAGTATTAAACCAAATAGTGCACGTTATTGCATCATGTAAAAAAAAAGAAACCTATATGGCCGCGATTGTATACTGTACAAACAAAGATATGTTTATAGACTTGTGAAGATTCTTTTGTCTATAGCTACTTACCAGCCAATATTTCGTCTGCTTGCAGTCAGATTGCATCAGGGAATGAGGTTGTGATAGATGTGACAACCTAACACCTCTTCTGGTATGCTATTTGGTCAGACCCCCCCCCCCCTTTGCCTGCCCCTCCTTTAGGAGTGGTAGGTATATAGAGGTTGGGTAGCTCAGTCCCACCATTCCGATTCAGCTTTGGCCCATGTAAGCTGATGTTAATCGCTTCAAGAACTTCATGGTGTAGGTCCCATGGCTCTCTTTCCAAGATTTATATATCTTCTTGGGTTTTTGATGTTAAACAATGCCCTGTCCTCCCCTGGTGTTGGCTGAGGACAGCTTTTTTATCACGTTTCTTAAAAGATTCTTGATGTTCTATAATTTTTTCTGTCATGGAACGTCCTGTCTCTCCGATGTATTTTTCTCCACATACCTGACACTCACACTGGTATACAATGCCACACTGTTCTCTGGGGTCTAATTTGTCCTTTGGGGATACTAGGATGCCTCTCAAAGTCTGTCCTGCCTTATGGTGTAAAACTACATTCCTTTTTCTGAACGCTCTTTTCTGCTTTTCACTAACCCCATATCCTTTGGGTAGACCAGACAGATATAAGTAGCTATAAACATGAGAATCTTCACAAGTCTATTATATGTATATGTATGCATACAGTGGCAGATTTAGAGGGGGTCAGGGGGGTCCTGACCCCCCTTAAATTCCTGGTCCCCTCTTGAAATTTGAATTTGACTAGTTGAATCATAGTTCTAAACCATATACAAAATGAAACCGTTCGCCCTCTAAAATACCAAAATTTTTCAGGTTTGTTTATCTGTAGATGATACTCCAGTGGAGAAATGGTAGTTTCTTTGTTATCATCAAGTTCTAAATTCAATTTTGAATGGTTATTGGTCATCGTTGTTCTGTTGGCAGCAGGTAAGTTACAACGTTAACTAAATGTACTACCAGGCTGTATACTCAGCTTGCCATGTGACTTATGATATCCATCCCCGCACCGATACTCCTCTGCACTGATACTCCCGCGTACCTATATACTCCGCACAAACACTTCTCCCCCACGGCATAGATTCCCTTGGCTTTGTAAACACAATTCGTGATTCAAAACCCTTTCTATAATGCTTTCCTTTCAAGACGCACCACCCTCTTGGGACCCAAAAGTGACACATTTTATTCGAAATATATTGGGGAAAATAAAGAACGTTACACGAAGTGGATCTCAGACTTTGTGTGCAGCTCGACAGTACAGCTCTTCCTTGTGACTTTTGAGAAATGTTTTTGCAAAATTAATATCGTTCTCCTACTGTATTTACCGTATATATATTATACGCCCATTTATTTATTTATTTATTTATTTATTTATTCAAGGCAAAGTTATTTTAATCTAAGATAACGCAGCTATGTCTTTTCTTCAGGCAACCATGAATTCGTTAAATTATTAAAGGCCCGGTCACACCTACAGAACGCACGAGGTACGCATGCATTGCGCATAAAAATAAGCCAAATGCGCTGTTGTGCGTCCAACTTTTGACAGAATTTGCCAGAAAATTTGCGAGTTAATAGCGAATACATGGCGTTTTGTTGGCGTATTTTGCGTATAAAGGGCGCATGAAGATCGAATATAGAACGCACGCGTAAATAAATCCAACGAATGCACAACGAGTTTTTGGCGCAAGGAACGTATGACCCGCGCATTCAGCACGCATTAAGCGAACAGATAGCGTTCCTCAGTCAGCAGCAATCACGTGATCCGTTTTCTATATATATAAAAAACTGTAGATTATGTAAAAAGCAACCAGTGAAGTTTATTTTCTTGGATACACATTTATCGTCTTATTCATTTGGAAGGTGATATTAAACACTAAAATAATAAAGAGAAGCATTAACATGATATAATCTGTCAATGTAATTGTTTTCTAATTATAACCGGACATTGTTTTTAGATAATTTATGTAAAAATCGAGCTATACAAAATACTAAAATTGTGACCATCTAAGAGAACAAATTTTACCCTGATTGTAACTATAATTACAGTAACATCACATGTGCATAATGTATTTTGTACCACTGTGTATCATTTAATGTCTTGTGTAGTTTATGCTCATATGGTAATTTCAAAGGGAAGAAAGAGGTCGTCTAAATCATCCTGTCTTGCCATGGAATAGATCCGGCTTCAGAGTTGACCCAGTGTTTGATGAGATTTCTCCATTTTTTCCCTTCCTTGCTGGACGTGTTGCTGCCAGTGACTATGCGGGTGTCCTCTAGATTTCGGCCATTTCTCCACTCACCAGCAGCAAACTCTTGACCCAGGTTCTGCTGGCTCTGCAGTGAATACCGGGTCCTTATAAGGTTGTGGAGGATGATGTTTGCTATTACAATCTTTTTGATGGCCTTGGGCTGCTGCTGCATTGTCCTAAGTAGAACTTGTAAACGGTTTGCCAGAATGCTCCTGATGTCACAGGCTTAGTGGAGTGCAAGTTCCATGACGTTATGAGAATGTTGGAAAACTGAAGTTTTGTATTCTAATCGCAGCCTGTCAAGATCTTCCATATTATGCAGCGGTTATTCAGCAAAAGTGGAGAAGTAATGTGGATACAGAGGACCCATTTATGTATACACCATGGATACACGCAGGACACGCATGCTCGGGACACGCTAGGAAAAAGACAAGAGGCGCGCTACAATAACGCTGACTGCGTTATAGAGTCGTTCAACGTTCGTTCTGGTTCGTTAGAGATTCGTTTAGCACCCGTTTATAGTCGCTGTATGTTCGCTACACATGCGTTGGAAGCATGCTGTGTGCTCGCTACGCCAAAGCCAACGAATTTGAAACGAACAGCTAGAGTTTATGCAGCGTCTGATTAACGCTGGTCCAGCGGCCTCTGCGAATGCCGAGCGACCTTCTGACGTGTAAGTTCATGCACATTTTTGTGCATGCACAAAAACTCAGACGCACAAGAGCAAATGAAAACGAATGCATAACTGTCGCCCGGCGCGTTTGACGAATGCAGACGCATAACAGCGCACTGGCCAAAATTGCTAAAATTGCCAAATTTTTTTAGCGCGTCGGCAGTGCGCCGACCCTGCGTCGTGTAGGTGTGACCGGGGTATAAGCAATAAAAAAGGGCTTCGTTTTCTGTCTTCTTCCTCTAACCTTCTTTTCTGCTCTTTAAGTTTCTTTCCCTTGTCTTTTGGAGGCATATTAGAATCTGAATTGAGCAAAATTCAAAATTTTTGAAAATTGTTGCAAACAAAATTGTCGAGACACGAGCATGCATCGTGAGCATGCCTTTTATACTCGCAGTCCCGCCATGTTTTCGACTTTGTTCGTTATAGATGTGAGATGTTTTCAACACGCAAAGGGCACTTTCTCCTTCATTGCTTTCGACGTGCATATTGGACCATGCAAGTCTCACTTGCAAACTCCTCGCAAACTCCTTGCGAAGGGAGCAAGTTATGTTTGCGGCTTCGCTGTTCACAGATTATTCGTAGAATCTATTGGAAATGTTCAATATCATCCACATGTGCTTACATACCTCCGAACTCGAAATTTTGCATAAAGCACCTGCGTGGCACATGAGATTCTCCGCAAAATTTAGACTCAAACGGGTCGTAAGAGCCCGTGCGGCCGGTTGTGACCGAGGCTTTAAATATAATAAATTTTATCATTAATTTTCAAAGTATGCGGAAAAAATGTTCCCAACAAGCTGCCTTTGGAACTAGACCCCTGTATTAAAGGAATATCAATCAGTTCTATAATTTTGAAGACAAGAGGTAAAACATTTCTCCACTACTTATGTTTTGTCTAAGCGCTCACGACTGCGCCGCTGCCGCTGCCACCGCCGCCGCCGACAGACGTAGGGGATGTAAATGTAAAAAACGCAAAACACTGTGTATTTATATTCAAACAGGTTTGTGAAATCCTTAGTGTAGGTGATTTGTCACGGGGTTTTAATTGTGGGTTTCTTCCCTTTGCCATTGCGTTTTATTGTCCTTCGGGATCTGTGACACGGGGGAAATCAGGTGACAAAGAACGACAAAGTCCTGATATTTCTTCAATCCAGGCAGGCAGGTTTTATTATAGATGACAGGTACAACTGAGTACGCCTTCTGAATAAATCTTCTTTCCTTATAGATCCGTTCTGCTCGGATAATACAGGTACTTCTTATAAGACAATAGTGAAATAAAGGAACAATCTAATGAATAAGTGTATAAGTGTCCAGTTGGCTCTACAAGAGAGGGCCTCGCTTTTGTCTTCCTAGAATGCTATCTAGTTTCCATTGTACATGTCACATTTTTTACGTATGCTATGATCACAGATTTCCTTTAAAGGGTGGCACACTCTAGGGGCCTATATTTCGAGCAGATCATTTCCATTTATTCTTATAGCATACTTTCCTCTTTCTATATTCTTAATTCAGCACTAATAAAGCAACAATCGCTACATGCTACTTGAATGGAATTTCTTTGGTATTCTACAATGGTCACTAATTACATTCCACAGACACGTACACTAATCTGTATCTCGTTTCAACTATTTTTATATCACCTAAATCAATATGATTGAAGATATCACACTCATGCTTGGAGTATATATTACTTTTCTTAAAACTAATTCTTTAAATCATTATGCATAAATAAAACCATTATGACAGATTTAAAAAGCATAAAAACAACATCACCAGGGATTTCCCTGTGGCCATTTTTTCCACATATCTCACCAATATCCAAAGCGTTTTTTCATTTGAAAAAAGTATTTCTTATACAGTGTAGGCCGTGCTTTCAACTCGTTGACCAATTTATCATATCCATATGTGAAACAATATCAATGTGAGGTGACAGACTCCCCCATGATAGACAGTCCGGTTCCCATCAATTTGCATAGGTAAGCCCCGCCCTAGATTTTGACCCACTTACGTAGACTGACCCTATCCTGTATAATTGAATGGAGGGTTGACTCTCTGTTACCCAGACCCTCAGTTTCGTGGAAATTGCATAGGGGGAGTAATGATGCGGGGGAGTATCGGTGCGGGGGAGTAACGGTGCGCGTATAACGGCAATTTTACAGGGATTTATCGATGCGGGGATCTATCGGTGTGAGCTCGAGGTTGAATCGATGTGCATAATGCAAAAAATTACAAAGGGGAAGTAACGGTGTGAGGGAGTATCGGCATGACTCTATGATAGACAGCTTGAGTTGGAAAACCATCCTTATTGCATTATTTTCCTGGTAATGGAGGGGTTTTCTTTTTCTTTTTTTCAAGTGTGGGTCTTTGAACTCCCAAGGGTATGAAGCTGTATGATAGTTATACTGTTAATTATTGAATGCACTTACTCCATTAGGGGAGACCAGTGCTAGTTGGCCCAGTTAGACACTTTTGGCCTTGTAGAGCCAACTTTATTTTAATTAAGAATAAATTAATAATGGTATAAAGCAGGTTTTTTTATGAAGGAAAACAATTAAATAATACATTTTTGTTTTAAAAGAAACTAGCAAATTCAGTTTTAAACTGGTAATTATTTAACAAACCATTTGGTTTGTTTCAACAATGGTCTGTAGCTCTGTTGCGCGCAGTTTAAAGGATTGCAGCCATTTATGGTGCTGGAATGAACATCGATGATACATTTCTGTGAAACTTGAAACAATGCGCTTCAGTTTGATGCCTTTTACATATAGGCCTACTATATTAGATCAAAAGCTGATGAAAATAGATTTTAAAGTCTCTTTAATAAAGTTACTTTAGGATGCTTTCATTTGGACTCACTGCCTAAATAAAACTTCTTTACAACCGACGCTTTCTTAGCACTATTGGATACAGTCACTCTACTAAATGATGTGGTCAATTTTTTTACCCCATATATATGTATAGTTACTTTTTCATAAAGGAAAAATGGGGGCCAACTTACCCCAGGGTCCAGCTAGCCCCAATCTCCCCTACAGTACCAGGAGTCCTCTCTGATGCTCTAGTTTTCTTTCTTATCTTCAGCCCAAGAAGTTTCAACACAAAAAAACCCACTGTTACTGCAACCAGGGAATGGGATAAGAACAAGAAGATTTTCCGCAAAATCCCAGGAAACACCCAAATCTGGTAAATTAGGACAAAAAAAAAAAAAATCTATATATATATATATATTCTAAAAAAAAATTAAAAATTGTGTGGTATGAATGATAGATATCCTAATATTAATATCTTTATTAATGATTTGTATGGCAGGGAATGAATGTCATAAGCAAATATGGCCATGTTTTGGTATTGGTATCTTTATGATAAAGTTTAAATGACATGTACAGATGCAGAACAAAGATTAATGACAGTTGCAGTCATATTTAACTTAGTTCTAAGATGAGCAATTCTGATTGGTCTGTCTATCCGAGTCATGGCTGTTGCTGTTGCCGGCGCTGTTGCTGTGGCTGTGGCTGTTGCCATTACTGTCGCTGTCCGACACATGAAGTTGACCGCCCCATATCTGCCAAACTGTATTTTTGTTTTACTTTGGTAAAGAAGCAGGTTGCTTTTGAAAATTGGCATGATCATTTTACATTTATGGTAATTGTTCTGTTTTTTTTTTCTGTTTGTTTGAATTTTTATTTTTCACACATTAGCATTTTCAGTGGCTTTTATATCCCATGGAACTGAATCACTTGCTAGTTTTTCAATGTCCATGTTACCTGTAGTAAATAATGTAAGAGGGTAAGAGTGATTATGTTACTTTAAACATTATGTAACAGTGCATCAGAATTGGCCAAAACATTATTTTGCGCACTTTTTTTCTACATAATGTTGGAATATTTGTCATCTTTGCTGCCTTTTTTATCTGTATGGCGTCTGTATATTTGTCAGCTTTGCTGTCTAGGTGTTGTTTTGAAATGATTATTTTTCACATCATGTCATTTTCAAGGTGTCACTTTGACCTGCATGGACCTGAAGACCTTTAACTGCTCGTAACATTTTCTTGATATCCATGATAGTTATAACATATGATAAAAAAATGGTGGTGATTCTGCCCTTAATATAAGCATTATGTAATATTGCATCAAAGTTGAAAACATCTTATTTGGGCACTACTGTCACATAGACAATTAAAGGATTACCATGTTACTTTTGATTCTCAAACTGCAGAAAAGATTCATAAGGATTGGTATATAGTACTGTCTGGATTTAAAAAAAATAAAATAAAACAACAGCCTGAAAGAAATCATTTTTTTTTGTGAAATCTATGTTTTCTACATGTTGGCTATATCAGTGTGGGACTTAGAACCCTTATGGGCATGAAGTGATATGTTAGGTACTGTATCTGAATGTCCATGTTATGATTTGTAGATAATAAAAATTTGGAGATGAATATGCTGTTAATGATTATATTATATTGCATCAAAATTTTAAAAAAATACAATTTTTTGCACTGCCACTAAAAATTCTATGAAAGGAAAACTGTTTACAAATTACTTATTATTTTCTTACTTACAAGAATGATTCTTAGGATTGACATACAGCTCATATTGGAAAACCAGCTTGATTGGATTGTTTTTCTGGATTTATGCAGTTTCTGAAATTTTTGTCTTTCTTATTCTGGCATTTTCAGTGTGTGAATTTGAACTCTCATTGGCCTGAAGCCACATGGTAGTTGCATGTACAAATTTGTACAGTTCAGGTTTCCTGTTGTGCATAATCAAAATTTGGTGTTGATTTTGCTGACAAGCAGAAATTGATGTTGTGTCACAACTGAAAAAATTACCCTTTTTGTGCGCCATTATTTCCTGCCTTTTGTCTGTGCATTTGACATCTTTGCTGCCCTGTTTACATTTATTATTTTATTTTTGCATCCTTGGAAATATAAAATGTTTACATTTTCAAGCATTGCGAAATGATAATTGTATAAACTTTATTTTTGCATTTGTATGAAATATTTTTACATTTGCTAAAAATCCATTGTGGGCATTTTGCTATTTTATATTTCCTTTTTTTTTTACTGCATGTTAAGGGCTGCATAGTCAGATATGCAAATTTTGATAATATCTGTTTCAAATTCCATTTAATTGCAGAGATTTGTGTCCCCTACCAATGTGCTGATGGGTACTTTGGCTGGCATTGCAAGTTTCAGTGCCAGTGTGCTACAGATGGAGAAGTGTGTGACAAAAGAACTGGCTTCTGTCCTAGTGGCTGTGCTGGAAACAACTGGGGACCTGGATGCCTGCTGGGTAGGCAGTAGAATGGTTGTTGATGAACTGTTGTAATAACCCTTGAACTTCGATATGATTTAAGAAAAAAACATGTTCTTTGTTAAGAAATCATTGTTAGTTCTCACATATTGAAATGCTTTAAGGCCACAATTGGGCTATAGCCAAATCAATCATCATTAAATGCATGATTACAAAATGATAAGTGGCACCAATGCTGGCTTTAGAAAAATGGGACAAGCGAAATTCCCAATTGGAAAATTGATACACTAGTAAATGGTGGCCTTGTGTAAATGCATTTACTTAAAATATTTTGGGATTAATTTTACAATCTGTAACAGTCTGCTGGTATTATATTTCTTCAAGATTCATCATGTTATTATGACTTGAGCGACAGTAAAAAGGATGGGGGCTTCAAATATGCTGGGAAAGTATCAGGGTATGGCACATTTACATGTAATTTGTGGACTGATCCCAATAATCGTCTCAAACTAAATGATGATGATGTTCCTGAAATGAACTTACACTTAGCAAAGAACTACTGCAGGAATTCAAAAAGGCATTCAAGAGTAAAACCCTGGTGTAATAGTGATGGTGGATATATTTACTGTGGTATACAAACATGTGGTGAGTACAGGTGTATGACGTTAAAGTTACATAGATTTAAGAAATGATTATTCCAAAAATTCCAAATGGTCTTTCCTTTTGTTGCCATATGTGTGTATGTAATCATGCAAGTGTACTTGTATTTGATGTGATCATGAATTTATTTTGCAGAAGTGAACCCAAGTATAAAACTATTAAGCTCATAGTTTTTTTTCCACAACAGCCCCATTCTGTGATGCCACTGCTTTAGTTTATAATTTAAATTTAATTCAAAATGACCTTGTCTTTTCAATCGTCTAGATTGTCCTGACTACCGCTTTGATGGCCAGAACAACTGCGACAAGGACTGTAGATGCAGAGACAGCAATGAGGTGTGTAATAAGGAAACAGGTGCCTGTATAAGTGGATGCTCTGTGGGATGGGGAGGAACAGGCTGCCAGGACTGTAAGTACAAGAANTTGTGATAGATGTGACAACCTAACACCTCCTCTGGTGTGCTATTTGGTCAGACCCCCCCTTTGCCTGCCCCTCCTTTAGGAGTGGTAGGTAGAGGCTGGGTAGCTCAGTCCCATCATTCCGATTCAGCTTTGGCCCATGTAAGCATATGTTAATCGCTTCAAGAACTTCATGGTGTAGGTCCCATGGCTCTCTTTCCAAGATTTTTATATCTTCTTATATTTTTGATGTTAAACAATGCCATGTCCTCCCCTGGTGTTGGCTGAGGACAGCTTTTTTATCATGTTTCTTAAAAGATTTTTGATGTTCTATAATTTTTTCTTTTATGGAACGTCCTGTCTCTCCGATGTATTTCTCTCCACCTACCTGACACTCACACTGGTATACAATGCCACACTGTTCTCCGGGGTCTAATTTGTCCTTTGGGGATACTACTAGGATGCCTCTCAAAGTCTGTCCTGCCTTATGGTGTAAAACTACATTCCTTTTTCTGAACGCTCTTTTCTGCTTTTCACTAACCCCATATCCTTTGGGTAGACCAGACAGATAAGTAGCTATAAACATGAGAATCTTCACAAGTCTATTATATATATATATATATATATATATATATATATATATATATATGTATGCATACAGTGGCAGATTAAGAGGGGTTCAGGGGGGTCCTGACCCCCCTTAAATTCCTGGTCCCCTCTTGAAATTTGAATTTGACTAGTTGAATCATAGTTCTAAACCATATACAAAATGAAACCGTTCGCCCTCTAAAATACCAAAATTTTTCAGGTTTGTTTATTTGTAGATGATACTCCAGTATAGAAATGGTAGTTTCTTGGTTATCATCAAGTTCTAAATTCAATTTTGAATGGTTATTGGTCATCGTTGTTCTGCTGGCAGCAGGTAAGTTACAACTTAATGTACTACCTGTATACTCAGCTTGCCATGTGACTTATGATATCCATCCCCGCACCGATACTCCCCCGCTTCTTTACATCCCC